GGACTCAAAATACATGTTTAAAACATATGTGAAAGCTGTTCAGTAACTTCAGTAGAGAGGCTGAGGTGATTAGCCTTTCATGCTTCAATCAGAAGAGCAAAAAAATTACAAATGGACATTAGACATTAGACAGAGTCATAGGACCTCAGAGGTGGGAGAGAACCCAACATTCATCTCGTTCATCTGCCTACCTGATCCTAGTTCCCTCTGCCACATCCACCAAGGAGCTATGCCAGCCTCAGCCTGCCTCAGGCATGCATCCAAGTCAGCATGAAAGTAAACAAGCTCAGGCGGCAAAACTGCACAGGAAGCTCCCATCAGCCCTTCTTATTATTTTTTTAAATTTTAATTTATTGATTGATTTTTAGAGAGAGACATTGATATGTTGTTTCACTTATTTATGCCTTCATTGATTGCTTCTTGTATGTGCCCTGACTGGGGATCAAACCCACAACCTTGGCATTCTGGGGATGACGCTCTAACCAACTGAATTACCCAGCCAGGGCCCACCATCCCTTTTTATTTAAAAAAAAAAAAAAAAATCATTAAAAATTAAAGCAAAAAAAAGGCAAAACAAAACCCACACATTATATGTCATTTCAATGTCCTATTTAATTATTATCCAGTTATTAAAGGTAAATGAATTACACAGGTGTAGTTTGTGCTTACAAATCCCAAAGAACAACTAATAAATGCAAAATCACTGTTTCTGAAGTTATTTTAACATTGGCCGCTCCATTGTCAATTCTAAAGGTGGTCAAACAGGACTGCTGTTTAATCATGAAGGATCGTACCTGTGTTTGTCTCTGCCCCTCCTGGAAATGCCCTCCAAAAACACAGTAAAATAATTGAAAAAACCAAGAGAATAGGAGATGAGAAGTCCTTCAACCTGGGAAGGCTCAGGGATAGGAGTTTTCTGGTTTGGAACTTGGGAATGGAGGATAGAGCTGAAAAGGTCTTGTGGTGTGAGCATAGGATTTCTATGTATCCAGCCAGCAGACAAGGGATGGAGAATCACACACGAGAAATTATTATGGGCAGCATGTCCAGGGACTTCCTGCAGGCGGCAGGCTGTGTGTGGGACAGCCCAAGATTTGAAAGCCAGCTCAACCATGAATCTGTTCTCCCATCTGAATACTGAGGGGAAAAACATCTGTCCGGACAGCCCTCAGGGTTGCGGAAAGGACAGTCTAGACTAGAGACACAGCATAGGAAAGCACTTTGCTAAGATGTGGGTTATAATTTACAACATGGTTAGACCTCATGAGCCTGGTATCTGATCACGGAATCACTTGATTCCACTTTCTCAGAGGCTTAGTAACACACTGCTGGTCACTGTGGAGGGAAAATAAGACTTGGCAGATTCCTAAAGGGAAATGTGTTCTCATGGGCAGGAAGGGGTGACAGCCAGACCAGAGACAAAGAGGCCATTCTCCTGCCGCCACCGCTGGCCACTGACTGCGAAAGTCGAGATAGACGTCCCTGGGGGATCAGATAACCAGATTCCTGGCACAGTGCCCCAGTTACACTTCATCCATCTCTCGCCACATCAACATCACAGCCTTGAGGGCCAGAGGAATGGGTGAGAAGCGAGGGAAGGCCTCCTGGACTGTCTGTTTCCCCTCCTTGGCTGGCTCAGACACCAAGCCCAGCCAGAAAACCAAACACAGCCAGGAGGCCCCGCTGGCCATCAAGGTGGCCTGTGATTGGTCAACAGCCCCGGGTCCTTGAGCAGGGCCTCTGCAGGATGACAAGGTGATGCTCCAGCCCTCCAGTCAATAACCTGGGCCTTTCCCACAGGTGTTCACGCAGGGCTGATGCCCGTCCTGCCCGCCATCACCCAGAGCAATCACAGCCCTACACCCTCCTCCATCTCAGCTCGGTGGAAACACATCCGCCAGGGAAACTGTTCAGAGGTTATCAGGCATGACCCAGCACAGGGAGCCTTCGGGACTGGGTGGCTGGGCTCCTCCCCTGGGGCCGCCTGGCAGGGGAGGCAGTGCCAGCTCTTACTGAGGGAATATGAGCCACTTTGCCCAGCCTGGGGGTAGCAGGAGAGAGGTGGGGACAGGCAGGACGAGTGGAGCCCCAGTGTCTCAGAACCCAGCCTGCCATAGTGCTGAGTGGCCTCAGAGGGGCCTAGAAAGCTTTTGGGCCTCGGCCTCAGAGACAAAGGTCTTGCTCATTCAGAAAGAAGGCTTCGGGGAAGAGTTGACGCTGTGGTTGGATGTCTAAACGGTCCTGTGAGGTGGGAGCCTGGGGCTTGTTGCTCTCTGACATCTTCTAAGTGTTCACCTGTGTCTCCTGAAAGGTGGAAGGATCCAGTGCCCACCCAGGAACTTCCAGAAGCTGAGCTAGAAGATTCTCTGGAACTGCAACACGGCCAGCAGGGCCCCTTCACCGCTGCTGGCCTGGTGGGGCCAGGGTGGCTTGGCCAGAAGCAGCTTCCCAGCAAGCCTGCGCCCCAAACCCCCACTGACCAGGTACTGGGTTGGCGGGTGTGTCTGTGTGTTTCTGCTCAGGGATGGGCAGGATTGGTGTTGAAAGCAAGTGCCACGGCTTGGCCCTACCCAGCCGGCCTAAAAGTCTCAGTGCGGCCACCAGGCTGTCCAAACCCAAACTTGGGGTACAATGGTCTGACAAGTATGACTATGACTATGTGGGAAGCAAGAGGCAGGTGATTTGAAATGAAGTCTGTGTTGAAGGACCCCAAGGGCTTGTGCTTGTCCCACCTGTTGAGGCCAAAAGCTATGGGAATTGGATAGACTCAGATCTGCCCCATGACAAGCTGTGTGGCCTCAGACAAGTTTCTTAGCTTCTCTGAGCTCAGACTGTGTCCAGCAACAAATGCGTGAAATGGGTGTTATAATGATGTCTCTGTAATGGGATTATTGAAGAACCAAATGAAGTCAAGTCTGCGAACATGCTTTGTCATTTTATTCCAACTGCCCAGCTGTAAAACCTTGAACAGATAATTTTAACTCCCTGGAGCTATGCTTCCCAGGAAATGAAGGGATTGGATTTCTGTGAGTTCTTAATATCGCTAACCATCTCCGCCATGGCCCAAGGGAATGATCGGCCTCTTATAGTTTATTTAATTAAGTGCCGTCCTTGAGTGCCACATGGTCCCCCTTTCCAAACATGGCCCCGTCTCCACCCACCCTCCCTTCCTCTTAAGAAGATCTGCAGCTTTCCCGGAGGGTGAGCACAGCTGTATTCACTGCAGCAAGAGCTGTGACATCCATCATGCGCTAAGGAGAAACAGGAGGCTGTTGGGTTTGCACCCTTTTACAGGATGTAAGAAGGCTCAACGGCCCTGGCTTCTCAGCGCTCCCAGTGCCTACTCATCCACCCGCCCTAACTGGGAATAACTAGAGGTGGAAATGGGCGGACCAACATTTGAGTATCAGGTCCGACATTTGCTTCTGGGAGACCCTGGATTCTATAATACTGTTTCCTCGTGGAGCTGTGAGCTATTACCTCATGGGGATTAAATGAAATAATGTCTATACTGCGCCTGAGCAAACAGCAAGTAGTTGCGTGTTGTTGTTGCACCTCATCCAGTATAATGCCCCGCTAAGTGTTACATTTTCATGATCACAGCTGTTAGTGGTCACAATGGGGAGTGAGGTCGACAGTTTCAATCTCCTCCATCCCAGCAAAGGAGCCAGGGGCAGCAGCCCATTCAGGCGTCAGCTTTCTGCAGCCTGGACGTAGATAACAGTTAGAAATAAGACCCCGAGCATTATCTTCCTGCGTAAGCCATTGTTCATTAATAACTATTTGAACCTTCCAAGGAGCAGAGAGCTAATGCCAGACATTTCTCAGCTGCGGCCTCTGGTTGTGCAAATCCCTGCAGGTCTCCCCTGTGGGCCTGGCCAGTCCGGGCACCAGGCCTCCATGTCTGAGGAGCGGGGTAGTGACTGAGCTGCTACTCAAGAGCCCTGTCAACAATCTCAGCTGGAATCTGAGTCGAGAATGCCACAAAGAGGTGTGAGGAGAGCACCCCCTAACACGAAACTGGAACACCTCCCGGGTCGCAGTCACATTCCACAGGCTTCTCCCACAGCCCTCGCCCAACGAATGAATCCCTGACTTTAATCTCCTGTCTGCTTGGTAACAGTGAGTGTAGGGAAAATAAAATGTAGAACTTTTCCCTCTCTCTATGTGCCTCCATCCTGGCTTCTCTGTAACCTCCAGGCTCAATAAACTTGACTGACAAAGAACGTGAGAAAAGACGTTTTCTACATAAATAAAATGAGATGATTCCAAGTCCCCTGGTGTTTTCCTCTCCAGCTACCATGCATTGAGGGCCTTGTATGAGAAGATTTGAATATGTTACCTTATTTTCATCCTGTCACCAATCCCACAAGGGGAGGACTAATGTCAAACCCATTTGACAGATGAGGAAATTGAGGCGAGAGAGGTTAAATACCTTGCCCAAGGTCACACAGCTGCTGTGTAGTGGAGCCAGGGTTCAGACCCAGGATCTAGTTCATAATCACTATGGGAATTACTCCTGGAGTCGATGAAAGAACCAGAACAGGATACCAGTAATTTCCTAAATACGACCTCAGTCCCCTCAGTCCTTTAAGGCAACCTATGGGATATCTAGTATGAGCCAGCAGTCTTCACATTGACTTTACTTCCTTTGGTCCATATACCACCATCTAGGACAGTGGTTCTCAACCTATGGGTCGCGACCCCTTTGGCGGTCGAACGACCCTTTCACAGGGGTCGCCTAAGACCATCCTGCATATCAGATATTTGCATTACGATTCATAACAGTAGCAACATTACAGTTATGAAGTAGCAACGACAATAATTTTATGTTTGGGTCACAACATGAGGAACTGCATTTAAAGGGCCAGGAGGTTGAGAACCACTGATCGAGGAGGTCGATATTTTTCTCTGCTTTGCAGAGGAAACTGAGACTCAGAGAGATGACGTGCCTTCCCAGGTCACACCACCCACCAGTGGAGAGGGTGGGGAGTGGGCGTGGCACCTGCTCTTGGGGCTCTGCGGTGCTGCACTCTCTCCGGGTGCAGTGGCTGGAGCGGCAGGTTCCTGGTTGCTTTCTCTCTCTCTTCCAGGGAGGAGCCACCATGTGCTCTGAGACGGGCTCCAGGTACACCGGCATGCTGCTGCTGCCCTTGGCCATCGCTGCCATCATTGCCAACCTCCTGCTGTACTTTCCCAATGGGCAGGTGCTGGAGCCTGCCAAGATCACAGACTTGGTCTGGTTTTTCCATGGCTTTCTTGGAGCTGGTCTCTTGGTAAGAATGAGGTTTAGCCCTAGCCAGTTTGCTCAGTGGATAGAGTGCCGGCCCGGGTTTGATTCTGGTCAAGGGCACATACCTCAGTTGCAGGCTCGATCCCCAGCCCTGGTCGGGACACATGTGGGAGGCAACCAATCGATATGTCTCTCTCACATCGATGTTTCTCTCTCTCTGTCTCTCCCCGCCACTTCCACTCTCTCTAAAAATCAATGGGAAAATATCCCCGGGTGAGGATTAACAACAACAAAAAGAATGAGGCTCAGCTAGCTTACCTCTTCCAGGTGAAGGGTTCCTCTTAACATCCGGCAAGTCACAGAGCAATTGTCTCATTTTCAAGCCGCCTTCCCTAGGCCCCGGAGCATGGCTGGCTGCTCCTCCTCTGGACCCACAACACATGATACACAAACAGGTTCCACATTGTGCCCAACATATCATGCTGCAAGCATCTTTTTATGTCCCTGCTTCCCCCATTGGGCTGTGAGCTTCTCCAGAACAGAGTCCAAATCTTGTTAATCTTTGCCCACTAAAAGCCTACCTAGCAAAGTGCCGGCTGAGACTAGAGCTTAATATGTGGCTGCTCATTGCGTGAAAGATACACTTTATAAAAAGCACAATAACTGAGTACTTGTCAAGTTCATCTGGTTTCAAGATGACCACCTTGAAATATAAATTATGTCACTCCCATCCAGGCTTCCCTGGGCAAAATTATGGGATTAGCAAACTTTTTTCGTAAAAGGCCAGATGGTAAATATTTCCAGCTTTGCAAGCAATGTGGTCTCTTGTTTCAGCCCTCAGCTCTGTCATCACAGGGCAAACGCAGCCATAGGCAATATGTAAGCAAATGGGTGTGGCTATATTACAATAAAACTTTATTTATTAAGCAGGCAACATGCTGGATTAGCCTACAGGTTGTAGTTTGTTACCCCGTGAAGTAGACATTGTGTGTTTTCCTTCCTTCCCGCCTTTGTTTTCATTTGGCTCCTCCTCTCCCAATAGTCCCTTTTGAAAAGATCATTTGATTATGGGAGACCCAAGTGCCAGACACTGAGTAAGTGTTCAATAAATGGATGAATGCATGGGGCATAAGGAAGCCTCAGAAAAAGTTGACTGTCCCCCTTCCTGCTTCTCCCCCCCCCCCCCACCGCGCCCCACAGTATTAGATTCAGTGATATCTCAAGTTGCATCCATTGACCACCCGCCCCTCCCTGCACAAGAGAACATCTAAACCAGCAATTTCTGGGCCAAGGTTGTCTGTTTCTCAGCGCAGAGCCCTTCTTTATGGGCAGCACAGACCCAGGAGTCTAACAGACTTTGCTCAGATGATGAGTCTGCCCTGCACCTGCTGTGCGACCTCCCTGAGCAGCAGTGAAAGGACCATCTCACAACGAGGTGGAGACACTAAATGAGACCATGTATGCAGAGTGCCCCCAACCCCCGGCAGCCAGTGAAATGCGAGCTGTCCCCTTTCCTGGCTCGGATTCCCAGCTCCTCCACCTTCTCTGTGGGTCCACCCAGAGCCTGTCTCTTGCCTCTGACCTTCGCTGCTTCTTTCTGCAGGACAGGTTCGCATTTCTCAGCTCCACCACCAGGCAAATTCCTAAACTCACTCTCTTCAACTGTAGAACACAGGAACATCAGCACCCAACTTCTCTCAAAATAGAAATGAGCAGGTACAGTGACTATTGAAAGGAATCAAGCAGCTTGAGACCAGGTTTTCCTAAAAGCAGAATCTCAGAACCTGTATTTGAAGACAATGACTCGGAGGGAAAGCGTTCTTTGATCAGAAGGAAAACAGAGGGAGCCCAGCTCAAGCAGGGACCCGACACCCTGTCTCCACTGCACCCCTTAACACCAGCGGCTGTCCAACCCTGGCTCCAGCTTTCCAACAAAACCTCCCGGATCTCCTGGGAAAATGGTTGCATAAAGTAAAAAACAGAAAGCCAGTCCCTCTTTCTGCCCCCCCCTCCCCCGCCCCTTTTCTTTTCCTTCTCTTTTGTTCAGTCAGTCTTTAGTGCCGCTCTATGTCTTCCCATGTGCCCAGCTCTAGGGTAAATGAAGGTAGTGGCCACGGGGTTGGAGAGAAGAGGGTGTATTTGAGCTGTGAGATGTTAGGCACAGCACAGCATCTCTCTGAAGTCTCCGTAAAATGGGGATATCAGTAACAGCCATCTCCCACGGTTATGGTGAGCACTGTATGAGATCATGTAGAGAGTCAAGTCTGGCTTGTAGCTAGTGCTCATTCAGCATCAGCCATAAGAGAATCGGAGCAAGGGAGGTCAAACCATCCTTGTACCTAGGGTTATGGAGTTGGATCCACCCACTTCCACTATAAAGAGAGAGCTGATAATCAGGCAAACTCAGAGCACTCTTCTCCAGCACTGTGGATACACACTGCCAAATCCTGTGGCTCTCCTTTTACTGGGTGCCATGGAACTGTCCCAGCTCTCATCAAGATGTCAAATCTTGCACACCAGCTGGGAGTTTGGTGCAGTGTCTGCATGTTTTGCTTTACAGTGACTTGGATACTCTGGGGAGGAGAATGTGCCCTCCAGCTCTCCACAGTCCCCACCACTCCCTAATACCTTATACCAGGACATACCTTTTTACTTAAAATTACATGCAGAGCCTCTAAAATCATGTGAGTTTGCATCCCCATCCCCCCACACCCAGCCTCAGGCTCTCATCATTAGCATCAACCACACACCAATCGTATTTTCCCTAAGGTATGTCTTAGTCACCTTGATGAGGACAGCGGACTGGGGATCTCTCAGATGCTTGCATCAGCAACACATTACCAACCCTTTCTCGGTGAGGTGATTTTTTTTCATAAAGTTGAGTTCATCCATTGTGTATTCATTTCCTGTTCCTGGCTCATGGTCTCAGCAGGCCAGTGCCCTCTCTCCTATCCCACGCTGCCAGAAGAAACAGGGGGAAACATCATCACAAATTTCACCACCATGTCCTTGGGTCTGGTTCTGTGTCCGGCACTGGGGCAAGAGCTGCTGCCCTCCGGAGCTCAGAGCTCAGAGCCCAGAGCCCAGAGGGAGGAGGAGAATGCAGTGAGCTCAGGGCAACGGGACAGAGTGGTGGGAAGGAAGGAGCTATTCACTTTAGCTGTGGGAGGTAAGGGGAGGGGAGAGGTCACTGAAAACTACAAAGAGGGCATGTGGTGTCTCACGGCTGCTATAATCAACTACCACAAACCTGGTGGCTTGAAACATCAGAAATGTATTCCCTCACAGTTCTTAAAGCCAGAGTTCTAATGAAGTGTGTTGGCACAGCCCCATGTTCTGTGCTCAAGGGGAAAATCCATTCCCTGCCTTTTCTGGTGGCTGTTGGCATTCCTTGACTTGTGGCTCCATCACTCCATCTTCACAGCCTCTGCCTCTGCCTCTGCCTTCTCCTCTGTGTGTTGGTCTCTCAAAACTCCCTCTGCATGTGATCATGTTTAGGGCCCACCCAGGATAAACGCCTAGTAAAACCCCACTTTAACCACATCGTTAGTCATAGAAGGTACTATTCATAGGTCCCAGGATTAGGAAGTGAATATATCTTTAGGGTTTGGAGAGGGGCATTTTTCAGCCTACTGCAGGAGATAGCTCCTAAACGGACCCTTTGAGGGTGAAGAGGAGTTTACCTGATAGCCAAGGGTGAAAGGCCTGTTCAAGGCCCCGAGGCAGGGAAAGTCCTGGGTCCATCCTGGGAGGCCATAAACTGGTGTGTCAGGAGGTCTGAATGATGGAGGGGAGGTGAAGCCACGAAGGCTCATGTACACCAAGTAGGGCCTATGTCGTAGTCTACAGGCAATGAGGAATCATTGGACCTTTTTAATAGCTAGAGCAGTGATGGCGAACCTATGACACCTCTGACACGTGAACTCATTTTTTTGGTTGATTTTTCTTTGTTAAATGGCATATAAATATATAAAATAAATATCAAAAATATAAGTCTTTGTTTTACTATGGTTGCAAATATCAAAAAATTTCTATATGTGACATGGCCCCAGAGTTAAGTTAGGGTTTTTCAAAATGCTGACACACCGAGCTCAAAAGGTTCGCCATCACTGAGCTAGAGACACAATCAAAACCTTGTTCCAAAAAGGTAATCTTCTCTTCATTACAAGAGTTTTTATTTTTATTTGTATTTTTGCCACAGGTCATGGTGCCAGCACTAATGCTGTTGAGAGGAGGTGGAGGAGGCTGCTGTGTCCACAGATGTGGGGTAAGTTCTGTGGATTCTACAGAATGTTTAACCTCCTACCTACCTTCCCCTCCCCCAAAGGGCTTATTCCGTAGGCCAGTGGTCAGCAAACTCATTAGTCAACAGAGCCAAATAGCAACAGCACTTCTTCAAAATAGACTCGCCCAGGCCGAAAACCGACTTCTGCGCATGGGCCACGAAGTTTCAGTCGCACTGTCCATGCGCCTGCACGTGGTATTTTGTGGAAGAGCCACACTCCAGGGGCCAAAGAGCTGCATGTGGCTCGCGAGCCGCGGTTTGCCGACCCCGGGCCTAGGCCATGTGCTTTTAGACCAATGCTCCTTTGGAACATAGCGGTGTTATGCAGGGCTCTAGCTAAGAGAGATCCGGGAAAAACCAACCTGGAGAAATGTGAGGAGAGTCACTTGCATTGGGCACAAAGCTCTGGTAGCCCAGCTGCTAGCATTTGGCTGTTTGCACTTCTCTCTGTCTGCCTGTCTGTCTGTGGGGAGGTCTAGGACCCTCGCATCCTTTGACTTTCCTATTCCCTAGTAGCCAATGGGGTAACACGTCACAGAACTGGGATCCAGGCAAGAGGGGACATTGAAGATTGTAGTCTCAAAAACACTTTCACAGGAATTCTTTCAAAATGTCCTGTGAAGAACAAAAGCTGCCACCCTGTAAGTTCTTCCATTACGGATTTATTTCTTGTTCCTGATCTTGTCCCTGATCACAGCAAGGTGTCCATTGGTTTTAGGTTCCTAGTTCACACACCATCTCATTTCTCTTTTCTGCTTCAAAAGTCCCTGCCCCAACCCTTGCAGCTTCCAATCAGACACATCCGCAGAGGTCTTAGCCCCATGTCGCCTGAGGACCATCTCCAAGGAGCTCCCTGAGTCATTCCTTTCTGCTCCAGCTGTCCCCCTGCCTTACTCCCTGTGGTCAGAGGGACACAACATGGATGTGCCAGGAATAAAACCTCATGCTTTGAAGCAAACAAGTTCACCAGCTTCGCCCCAGTTCATTAATGTGCTAATATGCCACCTTTCCTCGACATTTGCCTCCCTGCGACAAGTAATTATTCATTTACTCACCCAGCCATACAGCAAACACGTACTGAACACCGAGCACCAGGATGGCAAATAGTAGTGGATCATTTCATTCTTTAGAATTGTAACTGGGGTAGATCGATGGACAGAGGGCGTCTTGCCACCAGCACTCATTTTGTACATGTGGGAAGCAAAACAAGGACACCTACCAGGTCTGGCATCTGCAAGAAAAGACTTGGATCCTTTTCAATTTGCCAGGAAACTCAGGGGCTGCATCTGTAAAAAGCTGGCTTCTCACCACCGTCCTTCCCATTGCTGCACTGAATGTCTGACTCTGTTCCATTGCAGATGCTGTTCCCTGTGCTTCTGGCCACACAGGGCACAATGGGGGCTGTGTACTGTGTGGTCATTTCTTCACTGGGTTTGCTCAGTGGCCCCTTCTGTGACACAGGCAGTGGAAACTACACCTATCCTTTCAGGAATGACAGCCTGGAGTGAGTAGCATTCACGGTCTTGGGTCAGTGTCTAACATCTAATGACAATACAGCTGATGACCACAAAGAGTATGTGCTCTCAGTATTGCCAAGGGATCAGGTACTTTCATTCAGACCTAGTGTCTTGTTCCTCTCTCCACACCTGCTTCCAAATCTAGAATCTCTAGGAGGTGATTGGCCAAGGGGAGAAGTGCCCATGAATTAAGCAGTCCGCCCAAGGTATTCAATATAATTAATACCTGATTTCATTAGCCCCAGTTATTAAGCTCAACTGAGTATGTGCTGAGGGTCTGCTTAGTACTTGCTAGGCACTGTGATAAGAGAAGGGAGTGCAAAGGAAGGATGAGACAACTTGCCTGTTTGCAAGTAGTTTATAGTCATACTGGGAAGATAATTACCAAGTTTGGAATTACACAAATTACCTGAAATGTCTGGACCCTGTGATTATGATGCACATTTATTTTCTTGAAGGGACACAGAAAAAAACCCAACACCAACTGATTGAGAAAGACCCTGTTTCTCTTTTCATTTCATGTTCTCTCCCTGGCAGGCCTCATCCATCCCATGGCTTTCACAACCATCCATCTATCCATGTTAATAATCCCAAAGTGTCTATCTCAAGCTTAAATCTTCTGAGTTCTTAACTCAAATATCTAATTACCTCCTTGAAATTTCCTCTTGAACACATAGTATTTCAATATTAATATGTCCTAAGCTCTATGTCCACAAATTTCCTATTGGTCATCCTCACCCTAGTAAATGTCACCTAAAAGCTGTGAGTTATCTTTGATTCTTCTTCCTCTTACTTCCCATGTTCGATCCATTACCAGATCTTGTCAATTCTATCCTGACAATATCTTGAATATACATTGCTTTTTACCTAGTCTGTATCACCCTGCACCCAATCTCCAACACCATCTACCTCCAACAAGTACCTGTTGGGGGAGCTCATCAAGAAGACGTGATCACTGCCCTGGCTGGTTTGGCTCAGTGGATAGAACGTTGGCCTGGAGACTGAAGGGTCCCGGTTCAATTCCGGTCAAGGGCACATGCCAGGGTTTCGGGCTTGGTCCCCAGTTGGGGGCATGCAAAAGGCAGCCAATCAATGATTCTCTCTCATCATTGATGTTTCTGTCTCTCTCTATCCCTCTCCCTTCCTCTCTGAAATCAATAAAAATATATTTTTAAAAAAAAAAAAGAAGAAGAAGAAGAGACAGTCAAGCTGGACCAGGGCAATTGGAGGCTCCTCAGCCCCTCCCCCGTCCTTGAAATGTGCATTCACTTGCCTTCCCCACTCCCAGCAGCTGTTCCAAGGATACAGCCTGGAGAGAGCAATGTGACAGTGAGACTATACGGGACTGAATCCAGTGAGGGCCTCTCTATAAAAGCTTTTAAGATGCTGGCAGGTGGGTGGGTATGGAAAACTACTCATCTTGTAGCCATGTAAGTATTGTAAGTAAATTCCCTTGCTTATTAAATGTGCCACCTCCTAGTCTAGTGTGGTTTGTCTTTTTCTTCAGCTTCTCCCTGCCCACCCTCTGTGGGGGCTGGTTTCAGGTCACACCCGGGAGGCTCCTGACCAGGTTTAGGAAGCAACAGTATCCCAGTTCCATTTTGCCCTTCAACCCTTTTGCCAAAAGGGTTTTTGTCAAATGTAAAGATGCTGATAAGGCCAAGAAATGTTTACATTTAAAGGAATTTAAATGTAAGTTTAAGTTTGGAAACCCAATAGATACGTATATGATGAATATGGGTAAAGGTAGAAATAAAGACAGAAATGTCAAGGAATATACAGCTCTATGAAATACGGCCTGAAAACCTATTCCATTTTCCCTTTATCCAACTAGTACACTGTGAGTCCAAATTTCCCTTACAGTTTTTGCTTACATGCTATTTCTTTTTATAATTCATTGCTCTCCTCTCTGCTGCTGTCTCCTTCAAGGCCAGGTTACTCCAGCTTTCCCTATGAAGCCTTCTCCAACTACTCTACCCCTCTAGTCTTCCCCTTTCTAGGCTATAACTAAACTATACTGCCTACTGCATGGCAGGCGATGTGCTAACACCGTATCTAATCCTCCCAATCGCTCTATGGTGTTGATGCTATTTTTTAAATTTGATTTTTTTAAAGCGAGGAAGGGAGGGTGTACATCAATTTATTGTTTCAATTATTTATGCATTCACTGGTTGATTCCTGGATGTGCCTTTACTGGGGATTGAACCCACAACCTTGGCAAATTGGGACGATGCTCTAACCAACTGAGCTATTCGGCCAGGGCCTTATCGTCATTTTTAACACCACTTTATACATAAGGAATCCTATGTACAAAGACATTTAGGAAACTTATGTAGAACTTTTTAATGAGGAGGCTGGAGTTAGGACCTGGTTCTGCGGGACTTTCACACCCAAGCTCTTAACCACTTCCACTGCCTCTGAGACCTCATGGCAGCCGTTAAAATCTTGTAGCCCAGGGTTTCCCGCTTCTTCATATGCTGTCTTGTGCAGCTATGTCTACATCCACAATGCCTTGCTGAGGAACTGTGCTATCGGAGGGAAAGGCTCTGCTCAGCCTTTCCACCAAGGGGCAATAATAAAGCTTCTATCTTCGTGAAAATGAGAACAATGAAGACCCCAATGCTTTGTAATCTCCTGTGTTGGACTAGTGCCTCTCCCGTGCTCGTCAAAAACACCTCCTTCCCTTTACTGTCTCTCAAAGCCAAGCTCATATTCTCGTCTATCCTGGCAGGGACAACTACTTGTTCAACCAGCCCACCTGGGCCACGTGCCAAGAGCCTGAGCATATCGTCCTGTGGAACGTGGTCTTGTTCTCCATCCTCCTAGGGATCGGCGTGGTCGAAGCAGTGCTTTGCCTTAGCCAAGTCATCAGCGGACTCTGTGACGTCTACTGTGGTACCTGCATCGGAAAAGGACAGGTGAGTGCTCCTAGAACCCGGGAATTTTTCAGTCACTTCCCCCTGATCGGTTCCACACTGTCTCTCTCCTGCCCTAGCCCCACATGCCCAGAGGTAAGACAGTAACTAGGAAATGCCCTTTGAAATGTAGAACTTCATTTGCCACCTTGGATTTAATTTTTCTTTCAGGTGAACATAACTGGTTTATGAGCAGTCTAAGAAATCACAACTGATGGACAGGTGAAGGAAAATTCCCCGGGTTTCAGGAGGACTGGATTTGGTGAATGTCAGTCTCCAGAGTTCCAAGAAGCTGAGAAAAAAGCCCCCGACTTTCTTACCAGAGTAGGTTTGTATAAAGGACAACAGTGCTGCGAACTTCATCCACTTTGCTAGAATAAAGATTGACATTTCCTCCAAACGATCTCTAGAAATGACATAAGAAGCCATAGGGATGTACACTGATAGAAATAAAAAATAATGTAATGATAGATGCTTAATGTATCCGGTGGTTATTGTATCCAGGTCCTGCGCTAAGGCCTTTATCTACATGGTTTTAGTTAGTCCTATAAAGCAATGCCATATTGCAGATGAGGAAACTCAGGCTCAGAGAGGATCAGTTGTTTGTCTGAAGTCAGTGAATCTAAGTTTTGAATTTGAGCCTGATTCCAACATTTATAGTCTAGAGTCGTGGTCGGCAAACTTCGGCTCGTGAGCCACATGCGGCTCTTTGGCCCCTTGAGTGTGGCTCTTCCTAAGCCTTAGGAGTACCCTAATTAAGTTAATAGCAATGTACCTACCTATATAGTTTAAGTTTAAAAAATTTGGCTCTCAAAAGAAATTTCAATCGTTGTACTGTTGATATTTGGCTCTGTTGACTAATGAGTTTGCCGACCACTAGTCTAGACCACTTTCTTGTGGATCTCAGAGATTATTGCTTAGACACTAACTAGTTGGTATTCATTTACAAAAAAAAAAAAGGATGGTGGGGGTTCTGTGGTCAAATTAATTTGAGATACACTGGATTAAACAAAGTATAATAGGCTTCTCTGCTGCAGGACTTGTCAGAACCTTTACAAAACCAGTATGCATTGTTTATCTCCAGGAAGAGAATAGCAAATGCACAATTTCCTGTTCTTATCTAACCACAAAGCCCTTTTCTCCTGGGACAATTTTTATGGGGCTAATATCCCATGGCGCACACTTTGAGAAACACTGTATGACTCAGTGATGAGGTAGAACCTACTTCACTTAACCCATGAGAGTCCCAGAGAGTTTTCCAAACCACCAGAGAAGCAGAAAAATATGGAATGAAATAGGTTAAGAACTACTCACTTGTTTTTTGTTTTGGCTTTTGTTTTTTAAGTTTGGTGTAATAGCAGGAACCAGAAGTTTTATTTTAAAGCTCCTTTACTGTCATTGCAATATATATTTTTTGAGAATTCAGTATCTACCATACAAGCTCTGACAGTTCTCAAAAAGGCATCAGACAGGGTCTCTGGTTGAGGAAGCTTGCAACCTAATGGATCCTGCATAGCTGACTGCTTCCATGATATCCGGACCCCGGCTAACCCGTATTGTGCCTTTGTACAAATGAGAGAAAAAGCAGAGGATACAGCATGGCAAGCAGACAGGACCAATGGCAAATTTTGAAAAGGTGTCTTATCCTCCAGGTTGGTGCAGCCTGTACTGGATTGACTAATATCCCTTCAACTTTTATATTTAACAGGAATCTCAGAATGTGACCTAATTTGGAAATAAGCTCTTTGAAGCTGTAGTTAGTTAAAATGAGGTCCTACTGGGATTAGGATGGACCCTACGTCCAGTGTGACCAGGGTCTTTATAAAAAGAGAAGAAACACACACAGAGAGGAGACCATGTGAGGATCCAGGCAGAGATTGAAGCTGCCACAAGCCAAGGATTCCAGGCAACCACGGGGAGCTGGGAGAGAGTCATGAGCCAGATTCTCTCTCTGAGCCTCCGGAACCAGGCCGACATCTTGAATTTGGACTGCTAGCCTCCAGAGCTCTGAGAGAATAGGTTCCTATTGTTTTAAGTCACCTAGTTGGTAGTAGCTTGTTACAGCAGCCTTAGGAAATTCATATAATACACAGTCCCAGCCCAGGGTGCGAGGAAGCAGACCCCTTCACCCTCCCCCCCCTACCCCACACATACACACATACACACATACACAAAGTCATCTGCCTTGTGCAGAAACAAGCTACTCATGAACAGGGTGGCCCTGCCGGTGTCACCAATGCCTGAGTGCCCTGCTAACCAGGCTGTTTCTTCAGCTTCCCTGTAGCTCTCCCACTGACACGAAGCCAGACATACTGCCCAGACGAGAGATGTACTAAGCCCCAAGCACCGAGCCCAGCACTGCACCAGCCCAGCCCTGACAATGCTGTGAGGGGGTCATCCTGAGAGGAAACTGGGCTTAGGGAGGGGAAGTCTTTAGGACCAGTCAGTCCACCAGACAGAATGGCTGTATATGGCCCAATTACTGTTCCCCTGGGAAGAAAAACAAATCTAAAGCAAAAAGTTTTATTAGCTATTCCCCATTAAAACACCCTTTGTGTAAAGTGGTGGATTTGAAGCAAGGGAGGAGAAAGGTTTTCTGCCTCTGGCAAAAAGTCCCTCTTGTGGTTCTTCCTTTAAAAGGAATTTGCTGTTAAAGACACCAAAGTACATTCTGCGGCCAATAAAGTGGGTGGAGGAGGCACCGAGCTGCCCTTGGGTGAGGCCCCAGCTCATGGATGCCTGCAGGACACACTGGCTCAGCTAACTCACCCCATCAAGGGCTTTGGAGGCGGGAAGAGCACCATCAACATGTGAAATGTGGGCAAACCATAAAGTGATCCATGATGAACACACTGAGGAAAGTGTTTATTGCCAAATAAAAAATAGCTCTCTGAAATTAAGGAGAAACAAATTCTTTTCAAGGCTGGCTTAGGTCTACTTTTCAACTGCATGACCAGTATGTCTTGAGTTCCTACAGCGTGCAAAGCGAAAGTGCCTGGAGAAAGGGGGTCGAATGTTCTGGGAGAAAGGGTTTAAGCGAAGGGGAAATCGCAGCGCGCAACCACCCAGATGTAAGGCAGAAACAGGAAGGTGAGGATTTTCACTTCCATCTCTGCTTCAAGCACATCTCATCTTTTCAATCCCTTACTCTCTCAAGGGAAACTATGTGTTTTGCAGACCACAGTTGACATTCCTCCCCATCCCCCAGACTCATTCTAGGGGTTAAAAACTGTTTTTAACTGCAGGATACAGGTTACATAATGTGATACGCATTATTGGAAATGTGGAGGAAGTAGCTCTCCTGAGTGAGTTTAGAAAGCCTTCCCATTGTGCTCCTTACACTTCGCTATAGTACAACGATTTCCCCATTTTCCAGAAAAAGCAAGGATGACTCGTATAATTGTAAATATATGTGAAAAATTGATTTTACCATTTTACGAAAACCATCTAGAGAACTCATTTATTTGGCAAAATGCTCTTGCAGGTCTACACTGACTTGAGACAAACTTCATGGCTCAAAGGCTCATTGACAAACCAACATCTGGCATTATTCCTAAGCCAGATGGGCAGAAAATAATTTTAAAAGGGGGATACATTAAAAGGAGTAGGGGGAAGAGAAAGAAGATAAACTAAGTAACTGAAAAAAAAATTGGAAAAAGTTGTTTTGACTAGAAACTGTAAGGCTAAAGAAAAAGAGAATTGCCCTGGCCCGTGTAGCTCAGTTGGTTGGACACCGCCCCATGCACCGAGGGGTTGCTGGTTTGATTCCCAGTCAGGGTACATGCCCAGGTTGCTGGCTTCCCAGTTTGGGGGTCGGGGGGTGGGAAGGGGGTGCAGGAGGCAGCTGATGGATGTTAGGGCTCTCATATTGATGTTTCCTTCTTCTCCCTTCCTCTCTCTAAAAATCAATAAACTAGCCTTTAGAAAAGAAAAATGGAATTGGATGTACATAAATACTGTACTCTAAAGCTGGTTCTCACAGTGATATGACTTAAGAACTATGAACCGGCCCTAGCCAGTTTGGCTCAGTGAATAGAGCGTCAGCCTGCAGATTGAAGGGTCCCAGGGTTCGATTCCAATCAAGGGCACATGCCTGGGGTGCGGGCTTGATCCCCAGTGTGGGGCATGCAGGAGGCAGCCAATCAATGATTCTCTCTCATCATTGATGTTTCTATCTCTCTCTCCCTCTCCCTTCCTCTCTGAAGTCAATAAAAATATATTTAAAATAAAAACAAAAAGCTCAGCTTCCTTCTTTTTCTCTTCCTCTCTTTCACCACCCTGGCCCAGATGTAGAAGTTCCCAAAAGGAAACAAAGCCAAGTCAGAGTCATTTCATTTTGCAACTGCAGTTAAAATGTACTCTGTCGCCGGCCACCACCCATCAGCTATGGGTTACATGAAGTTCTTAGTATGAGCCAGGCTGCTCTAGATGCAGCATGGTGATACTGCAATCCTATCTAATAAAAGACAAACAGGGTAATTGACCGTACCTTCGCTACGCTTCCCATTGGCTAATTAGGGCGATATGCAAATTAACTGCCAAGAAAGATGGCGGTTAACCACCAACAAAGATGGCAGTTAATTTGTATACGTAGGCGCAATGATGGGAGGCGAAAGGGGAAGGACGGAAGAACGGTCATCGGAAACCCAGGCGGCAGGCAAGAGCCGGTTGGCAGGGCAAAGTTGGCCCTGGATCAGAGAACTGGGGCCACCTTTGCCCAACCCCAGCCAGTGATTGTGATCAGAAAGCCAGGCCACAGGCAAGGTGGCACTCCCGGGACCCAGGAGCCCATCGGCGATGTCTGCAGGTGAAGCAGTGATCAAGCTATGAGCAGGAGGGTGGGGGGCAGAGGAGCTATAGGAGCAGCTCTGGCCAGAGACTGAAGGCTCCCGCCAGAGTGAGGAGCAAAGACTGAAGGCTCCAACCGCAGCAAAGACTGTGTCCAGAGCGAAGATGGAAGGCGGTGGCCAGAGTGAAGGTCTGGGTCCCGGGTGCCAGAGGAAAACTGGTGCCATCAGCAAGGGGAAGGGAAAGCCTATTGCAGGAACCTTTTCATGCAACAGGCCTCTAGTTTATAATAAGAAATGGATATATCTGGCCTTCCTTCCTTTCTGGCACAGAGCTCTGAATATCTTGAAATTTCCTAAGTGAAAAGAGTGATTCTGTTTCTTTGTTATGGGGTGAGGCCACAA